TTTTTTTTTTTTGTTTTGTTTGATTTATTGCAATGATACAAAAAAAATTTTTTTTTGTTAATTAATTAGACTTGGGAAAAAAATTATTCAACATAAAAACTAAAATAGAAATTAATTTTTTTTAATAGGACACTGGCAAATAACATAATTTTTTTTTGTTTTTGTAATTTCTTTAAGTTTAAACTTATAGCAACAACAGAAAATATGGCAGTTTTAAATAAACCAAAAAAATATGTTTTTTTTTGTAATATTTATTGCTTTAACTATGTTTTTAAGTGCAAATTTATTGCAACAACAAAAAATATGACAATTTTGAATAATTTTTTTTATATTTTTTTTTTTTTAATTTATATATTTATTATTATTTTTTATTTATATTTTTTTTATAATTGTTTTTTTTTTGGTATTTTTTTTGTTTGCTATTTTATTTTGTAAGAATTTATAGCAATAATACACAACAAAAATATTTTTCTTTGTAAATTAATTAGACTTAAACTAGTTTTGCTTTCTCTGGGATAAGATTATTAAAAAAAACTTTACTTTTGCTAACTTTAAAAACTGTTAAATACAATTAGATTAACCACCAAGCACAAAAGCTTTATTTACAGCAGATTCTAAAATTAACGTCATCAAATATTTTTCTAGTTTCAGTTTTTTTATTAAATTTATTTTAATATAATTCTTATTACATTTATAGATTTCTGTAGTACGTTAATCTTTAAACCCAGCACTAAATTCTATTTTTTCAAGCCACTATTTTTTGTTTTGTCTGATTTAGTTTATTATAAATTTTTACAATTTGTCAATTTTTATTCATACCGTCCTTTGAAAATAAAATAAATACATTGATGCAATTTATTTCTTAGTTTTTATAAGCCTTCGTAGGTTCGTACAGCCAAAATTGTGGTTGGTCAGAAATCAAAAAAAAATTGATTTTTCTTTGTAATGCATATATCTTTTTTCCATTTTGTTTTTATTTTATTTTTTATTTTTATTTAAATTTTTTTTAATATAAGGGAAGGGTCATTGTATGTAGAAATATATACAGAACAGGCAGAACAAAATCCATGATGATTGGATCATTTGTCTTCGAGTTATCACTGCAGCAAATTCGAAAAATGCTGTTGCGAGAAAAACGCGTTTAAAGTTACACTGATGGAGCTGATTGAACTGGGCGGCTACCCTCTTAATGGCTGTAATTCAAAAACTATTTGACATATCGATTTGAAACATTAGTATGTTATTTTTAAAGGTATTAACAATTAAAATATGAAAAAAAATCGATTTTTTTTTCTTCACAATTTCACACTAGGTGTGCTTCTTAAAACAAAACAAAAATGATTTTTCTTCAATTTTTTTTTTGATATTTTCTTAAATTATCTTAGTATTTGTCAATATTTTTTTCTGTATTTATTCTGTGAAGTAATAAAGGACAATATTTAAAATAATTTCTAATTTTTTTACTATTTTTTAAATAAACAATTTTTTTTTAGTTTTTTATTTTATTTTTAATTTTTTAAATTTTTTTAAATTTTTTTTTTTTTGTATTTTAATAATTATTTTTATTTTTTTCTGTATTTATTCTGTGAAGTAATAAAGGACAATATTTAAAATAATTTCTAATTTTTTTACTATTTTTTAAATAAACAATTTTTTTTAGTTTTTTATTTTATTTTTAATTTTTTAAATTTTTTTAAATTTTTTTTTTTTTGTATTTTAATAATTATTTTTATTTTTTTCTGTATTTATTCTGTGAAGTAATAAAGGACAATATTTAAAATAATTTCTAATTTTTTTACTATTTTTTAAATAAACAATTTTTTTTAGTTTTTTATTTTATTTTTAATTTTTTTAAATTTTTTTTTTGTATTTTAATAATTATTTTTATTTTTTTCTGTATTTAGTAAAGTTATAAATGACAATATTTATAATAATTTGTAATTTTAATTTTAGGACTATTTTATTAAATAAAAATTTTTTTTTGTAGTTTTTTGTTTTATTTTTAATTTATTTAAATTTATATTTTTTCTTTATTTAGTACAATAATAAATTACAATATTTATAATTTTTATAATTACTATTTACTAATATTATTGAATTTAACTTAATTTGAACGATTATTACCAATGTTCAGAAGGATTGAGTAATATGTTTATAATTTTCTTCTTTTTCTTCTTAATGTTTTTGAGGATTTACATAATTTAATAAATACTTATTAAATTTTAATTATTTATTAATTTATATTTAATAAATAATTAACGTTTTAGTGTTATTTCAAATTTAATTTATTTATTTCAATTAACACCGTTTTTTTTTTATAAAACCAAAAAATATCTAAAATTTATTCTAATATGGCAATACTAATCCTCTAGTTTCTTTGATATTCATGCATTATTTCAAACTGGCTTAACAGTTTTTATTCCTCGTATTTAGAAAAATATAAAAAAATCAGCTGCTGCTTCATTTTTTTCAAATAAATAAAATTATTAAATAAAAAATGCATAACGTCATAGTAAAGCAACGCAAAAATTTATTATAAACCGAAATTTTTTTAACTAAATTCAGTAGCGAATTAATAATTTATGCAAAAAATATATTGTAAATTAGAAAAAAATTTGGAATTGTAATACGCTAGCATAGTCAATGCTAGTAAACTACTAGCTTGCTAATAAAACTAATATTTTATATTTATATATCTGAAATATTAAAATTTTTTTATTTAAAAAATATAATCTTACAATAAATTTTAGCAAGATAATAATCGATTTTTGCATACTATAATTACTAAATTACAATAATAACACTTACTAAATGTTAATGCTCGAATATTTGCCTTACATTTATGCTACAGAATGTTTTTTGAATAATTGATAGAATTTGCTGAAAAACTTGCTAGAATAATAAAAAGTTTGACTTTGCAGAATTTTCCTTGTGATTTTCGACGCTTAATTATAGGTAGTTATAAGTTTGCCAAATTGCACTAAATTAGCGAAGTCTAGGCGCGTCGATAATATACATATGTATATGTATTATATTACATATGTATATGTATTATATTACATATGTATATGTACAACTATATATTATATAAAAATGTATGTATATGTGTGTTTAATGGAATATCATTTATTTTAAACGTTTGTTTAGAAAAATTACTTGTGAAAATTAAATATTTATAATAGTATTAAAAAAAATAAATAAATATGTAAAATATACATTTTGTGGCGTACGTTAATAATTTTTGAAATTTCTATATAAAATTTAATTTTTTTAATTATTCTAAAAAAAAAAATTATGTAATGTAATTATCATACATATCTAATTCTATTAAATTTTTTTTTTTTTTTTTTTTTTGTTTGTTTAAAAATATATAAGCAATTTTTTTCTTGAATATTCAAAATCAGTTTCTTTAAACTCAATTATGTTACTTAATGCGCGTGTTTGTTGCTTTGACCATCAAAAATTCGTAAAGTTAATTAATAGGTACACGCATATACATATATTATTTTTAGAAACACCTTTGAAACTCGTAATATCATGCGATACATATGTATTTAGTTATATATATACTATTGTGCTTTATATTGTGCTCTATATGCATATTTATTGAATACTTGTAGTTTAAAATAAAATAAGTAGCCTGAGGATAAAATCTGTAGATTATAAAAAAAGAACATTGTTGGACAAAAAAAAAATTTTTTTTGAACATCTAGCGGCGGCCCACTCAGTTTTAAAGTAAATTTCGAGTTAACATTTTTTTTGGACTAGAAAAAATTATTTTTGGTTTAAACTCTTTACATTTATAAAAAAAAAAAATTAACGAATGTGACAGTTGTTGACTCAAAATTTATTTTAACGCTTAAGGAAAGCTTGTTGTCGTTTAAGACTTTTTTTTAAACTACAATAATGACCACAAAAAATTTTTTTTCAGTTGATAACTTTAAATTGGCCCGAAAGAGGACTCTCCACAGCTTCTAGAACACTTATCAAAATTTTGTTACGAAATAAAAATTTTAACTCGAAAATTTACTTTAAAACTGATGCCTCCAGATGTTAAAAAAAAATTTTTTTTTTGTCCAAAAATTTTCTTTTTTTATAATCTACAGTATTTACCCTCAGGCTAAGCAAAAAAAAAAATTGTTTCGCTCCACCCTAATAAGTATATTATACATAGAGCTGTATGTATATTCATATCCAACATATTTACGCATCATTATTTAGTAAGCTGAAATTTAGATATGTATCAACAACGCAAGCAAAGCTACGCATACATACAAACATAGCAGCACTGG